GCATATGGAACATTCTCCAGAGAAGATCACATATTAGGCCACAAAACAAGCCTCAACAGATTCAAAAATACGGAAGTTATACCATGCATCTTTTCTGATCACAACACTATGAAACAAGAAGTCAACCACAAGAAAAAATCTGGAAAGACCACAAATATATAGAGTTTAAATAACATGCAACTAGGGGTGCCTGGGTGGCTCGGTCAGTTAAGCAACCGACACTTGATCTCAGTTCAGGTCTTAAATTCGGGATCATGAGTTCATGCCCCACACTGGACTCCATGCTGGGCATGAAGTCTACTTAAAAAAAAAAAAAATGCAACTAAACAATGAATGAGGGGTGCCTGGCTGGCTCAGCCAATGGAGCATGCGACTCTGGATCTCTGGGTTGTAAGTTTGAGCCCCATGTTCAATATAGAGATTATCTAAAAATTTAAAAATCCTTAAAAAAAAATCAATGAGTCAACCAGAAAACAAAAGAAGAAATTATAAAGTACATGGAGAGGCACCTGGGTGGCTCGGCTGAGGGTCCAACTTTGGCTCAGGTCATGATCTCACAGTTGGTGAGTTTGAGTCCCATGTCAGGCTCACTGTTCTCAGTACAGAGCCTACTTTAAGATCCTCTGTCCCCCTCTCTCTGCCGCTCCCCTGCCCATGCTCTCACTCTCAAAAAATAAAAAAGTAAAGATTAAAAGTACATGGAAACAAATGAAAATGAAAACACAATGGTTCAAAACCTTTGGGATGTATCAAGAGCTGTTGTAAGAGGGAAGTTTACAGTAATACAGGTCTACCTCAGGAAGCAAGAAAAATCTCAAATAAATAACCTAACTTTACAGCTAATGGAGCTAGAAAAAGAACAACAAAACCTAAAACCAGCAGAAGAAAGGAAATGATAAAGATTAGAGCAGAAATAAATGATACAGGGGTGCCTGGATGGCTTAGTTGGTTAAGTGGCCAACTTTAGCTCAGGTCATGATCTTGCAGTTCATGAGTTTGAGCCCTGCATTGGGCTCTGTGTTACAGCTCAGAGCTTATAGCCTGCTTCGGATTCTGTGTCGCCCTCTCTTTCTGCCCCCTCCCCGCTCACACTCTGTTTCTCTCTCAAAAATAAACAAACATTAAAAAAAAACTTTTTTAATTAAAAAAAAAGAGGAATAAAGGATACAGAAATTTAAAAAACAATAGATCAATGAAACCAGGAACTGGTCTCTAGGGGGGGGAATCAATAAAACTGATAAACTTCAAGCCAGACTTATCAAGGGAAAAAAAAGGACCCAAATACACAAAATCACAAATGAGACAGGAGAATAACACCAGAGAAAAGAGAATATTATGAAAAATTACAGAACAACAAATCAGACAAGCTAGAAAAAAATGGGTAAATTATTAGAAACATAGAACCTACCAAAACTGAAATGGGAAGAAAAAGAATATTTGAACTAATTACCAGCAAAGAAATTGAATAGTAATCCAAAAACTCATAAAAAAAAAAAAATCTAGGCCCAGATTGCCTCACAGGTGAATTCTACCAAACACTGAAAGAAGAGTTAATACCTATTCTTCTCAAACTATTCCAAAAAACAGAAGAGGGAAGAAACACTTGCAAACTTATTCCACGAGGCCAGCATTACCCTGATATCAAAACCAGATAAAGACACCACAAAAAAAAAGTAGAACTACAGGCCAATATCCCTGACGAACACTGATGCAAAAATCCTCAACAAAATAATAGCAAACCAAATCCAAAAATACATTTAAAAAAATCATTCAAGGGCATCTGGGTGGCTCAGTTGGTTAAGTGTCCAACTCTTGGTTTCGGCTCAGGTCACGATCTTGTGGTTTCATGAGTCCAAACCCCACACCAGGCTCTGCATTGGCAGCATGGAGTCTACTTGGGATTCTCTCTCCCTACCTCTCTCTGCTCCTTCCCAACTCGCACTCTCTCTCAAAATAAATAAACAAACTTAAAAGAAAAAAAATCATTCACCACGATCAAGTGGAATTTATTCCTGAGTTGCAAGGGTGGTCCAATATTCCCAAATCAATCAATGTAACATGTCACATCAATAACAGAAAAAAATAAGAACCATATGATCACTTCAATCGATGCAGGAAAAGCATCTGACAAGGTACAACATCCATTCAAGATAAAAATCCCTCAACAAAGTAGGTTTAGAGGGAACATAACTCAACATAAAAACATGTTGTTTTTATGAGGCCATGTGTGAAAAACTCACAGCTAATATCATTCTCAATGGGGAAAAACTGACAGCCTTTCCTCTAAGGTCAGGAACAACACAAGGATGTCCACTCTCACTATTTTTATTAAACATAGTACTGAAATTCCTAGTCACAGCAATCAGACAGCAAAAAGAAATAAAAAGCATCCAAATCAGCAAGGAAGAAGTCAAACTTTTACTAGTTGCAGATAACATGATACTATATGTAGAAAACCCAAAAGACTCCACCCCAGAACTGCTAGAACTCATAAATGAATTCAGTAGAGCTGCAGAATACAAATTCAATATACAGAAATCTGTTGCATTTCTATACATCAGTAATGAAGTAGCAGAAAAAGAAATTAAGAAAATCCCATTTATCAGACTTCAAACTGTATTACAAAGCTATAATCATCAAGACAGTATGGCACTGGCACACAACCAGACACTCAGATCAATGGAACAGACTAGAGAACCCAGAGATGGACCCACAAATATATGGCCAACTAATCTTTGACAAAGCAGGAAAGCATATCCAATGGAATAAAGACAGTCTCTTCAGCAAATGGTGCTGGGAAAACTCGACAGTGACATGCAGAAAAATGAACTTGGACCACTTTCTTACACCATGAGAAAAATAAACTCAAAATGGATGAAAGACCTAAATGTAAGACAGGAAGCCATCAAAATCCTCAAGGAGAAAGCAGGCAAAAACCTCTTTGACCTTGGCCACAGCAACTTCTTATTCAACACGTCTCCAGAGGCAAGGGAAACAAAAGCAAAAATGAACTATTGGGACCTCATCAAAATAAAAAGCTTCTGCACAGCTTAGGAAACAATCAGCAAAACTAAAAGGCAACCGACAGAATGGGAGAAGACATTTGCAAATGACCTATCTGCTAAAGGGTTAGTATCCAAAATATATTAAGAACTTATAAAACCCAACACCCAAAAAACTAACCCAATTTAAAAATGGGCAGAAGACATGAAGCGACACTTCTCCAAAGACGACATTCAGATGGCCAACAGACCAACAGGCCAACATAAAAAAAATGCTCATTGTCACTTATCAGGGAAATGCAAATCAAAACTACAATGAGAGATCATCTCACACCTGTCAGAATGGCTAAAATAAAAAACACAAGAAACAACAGATTTTGGCAAGGATATGGAGAAAAAGAAACCCTCTTTCAGTGTTGGTGGGAATGCAAGCTGGTGCAGCCACTGTGGAAAAGAGTATGGAGGTTCCTCAAAAAATTAAAAATAGAACTACCCTACAATCCAGCAATTGCACTACTGTGTATTTACTCAACAAATACAAAAACACGAATTCAAAGAGATATATGCACCCCTATGTTTACAGCAGCATTATTTAGAATAGCCAAGATATGGAAGTAGCTAAGTGCCCATCGACAGATGAACACATAAAGATGTGGTATATATACACAATGGAATATTCAGCCATAAAAAAAAAAAAGAATGAAATCTTACCATTTGCAATAACATGGACAGAGCCAAAGAGTATAATGCTAAGTGAAATAAGTCAGAGAACCATATGATTTCACTCATATGTGGAATTTAAGAAACAAAACAAACTAGCAAAAGGGAAAAAGAGACAAACCAAGAAACAGACTCTTAACTATAGAGAGGAGGGATGAGGAGAAGAGTGAAATAAGTAATGGGGATTAAGAAGTGCACTTGTGATGAGTACTGGGTGATTCAGATAAAGATTTAGGACAAACAAACAAAAAACCACAAAGTATCGTAAGGAAAAACTGCCAACCAAGAATATCCAACAAAGGTGTCTTTCAGAAATGAAGGAAAGGGGTACCTGGGTGGCTCAGTCAGTTAAGCGTCTGACTTCAGCTCACTTCACGGATCTCACTGTCCGTGAATTCGAGTCCTACATCCAGTTCTGTGCTGACAGCTCAGAGGCTGGAGCCTGCTTCAGATTCTGTGCCTCCCTCTCTCTCTGCCCCTCCCCAACTCTCACTCTGTCTCTATCACAAAAGTAAATAAAAATTTAAAAATTAAAAAAAAAAAAGCAATGAAGGAGAGATAAAGATTTTCATGGATAAACAAAAGTTCAGAGAATTCATCACCATTAGACCTCACTTACAAGCAATGCTCAAAGCAGTTCTTCAGCCAATATGAAAGGATACTAACCAGGAAAAGGAAAACATACCCTGGGTAAAGGCAAGTATACCATCAAATTCAGAATATGGTGGTTTGCTAATCACTTAACTCTAATATAAAAGTTAAGGGGCACCTGGGTGGCTCAGTCAGTTAGTCTTCCAACTTCAGCTCAGGTCATGATCTCACAGCTCTTGAGTTCGAGCCTCGTGTCAGGCTCTGTGCTGACAGCCTGCTTCAGATTCTGTCTCCCTCTCTTTCTGCCCCTCCCCCATCTGCACTCTGTCTCTCTCTCAAAAATAAACATTAAAAAAAATTGTTTTAAGTTAAAAGACAAAACTATTAGTAACTGTAGCTCTAATAATTTGCTAACAGATTTTAAAAAAACATACAAATGGCCAACAGGTACATGGAAAGGTGCTCAACATCCCTAATCATCAGGGAAATGCAAATCAAAACCACAAGTTATAACCTCACACCTGTTAGGATGGCTTTTATTTAAAAAGACAATAGATAACATGTTGGGAAAGATGTGGAGAAAAGGGAATCCTTGTACACTGTTGGTGGAAATGTAAACTGGTATAGTCATTAAGCAAAACAGTATGAAAGTTCCAAAAAATTAAAAAACAACAACAACAACAACAACTATCTTATAATCTAACAATCCTACTTCTGGGTATATCCAAAGGAAACAAAATCATTATCTTAAAGAGCTATCTGCATCTCCATGTTCAGTACAACAGTATTCACAAGAGTCAAGATATGGAAACAACCTAAATGTGAACAGAGAAGTGGATAAAGATGATGTGGTACATATATACAATGGAATATTATCCAGCCATAAGAAAGAAATCCTGTCATTTACATTGTGTACACACACACACACACACACACACACACACACACACACACACACAGATACAAACTTCAGCTACATATTTGTATCCTTTTCAACCCCAAAGCTAAAATCAAGTCCAATGAGAACACATTAGAATAATTTCCATCAAAGTCAAAGGCCAAACAAGCCTATCCCTTTTACTACTGTTGTAGAGGTACGAGCTGTCACAATTAGGTGATTGAAAGAAAACACAGGAGGGGCGCCTGGGTGGCGCAGTCGGTTAAGCGTCCGACTTCAGCCAGGTCACGATCTCGCAGTCCGGGAGTTCGAGCCCCGCGTCAGGCTCTGGGCTGATGGCTCAGAGCCTGGAGCCTGTTTCCGATTCTGTGTCTCCCTCTCTCTCTGCCCCTCCCCCGTTCATGCTCTGTCTCTCTCTGTCCCAAAAACAAATAAATGTTGAAAAAAAAATTAAAAAAAAAAAAAAGAAAGAAAACACAGGAATGTTAAAGAAAAAGTAAAATGACCATTATTTGCAGATGATATTATTATATACCTAGAGAATCAACTAAAAACCTTTATAGTTTTGTAACCAGGTAAGGTGGTGAAAATTAACATATAGAAAATAATGCCTTCACATACACCATCAACAAGAAGGTAGAAGATAAAATGCTTCAATACCACCAAAAACAAAGAAAAAGACCTGAGAATAAACTTAACAAGAAATGCCAAGAAATCTCTCAAACTCTGAGGGACACAGAAGAAGGCTTGAGCAAAGAGAAAGGCATACAATATTCTCAGTGGGAAAGACTCATCACCTAAATGTCATTCTTCCTACATTAACCTAAAAATATAACACAGTACCAATAAAAACAAAAAGGATTTTTTTGAAACAGGCAAATCTACCTTAAAGTTCATATAGTAAAACATAGCCAAGAAAATTCTGAAAATTAAAGGTAATGAATGAGAATTCACTTTGCCAAATATCAAAACATGCTCTAAAGCTAGAATAATTAAAACGTGTACTGAAACATAAATACACAAACTGACGTACAGAATTGAAAGTCCACCCAAATGTATATGACATGTGGCAAAGTATATCACATATAGTAAAGGTATTTGAACAAGTGCAAGAAAGATGACCTGTTTAATACAAGGCATTGCAACAAATGGGTGGCCATTTGGGAAAAAATTAAGTTGGACCCACACTTTTCACCAAAATAAATTCCAAATGGATAAGAGATTTAAAGGTAAATAATGAAATTCTAAAAGTACTTTAAGGAACCACAGGATAATTTTTCATACTCTTCTACTAGAGAAGATCTTTCTAGGTATGATAGAGAACCAAGAAGCCTTAAAAGTTCAATGAGTATGACCTAATTAAGAACTAGAGGGTATTCATGACATGTGAAATAAGTCAGTCAGAGAAAGACAGATATCATATGATTTCACTCATATGTGGAATTTGAGAAAGTCGACAGATAACATAGGGGAAGGGAAGAAAAAAAATAAGATCAAAATAGAGGCGGCAAACCATAAAAGACTCTTCAATACAGAGAACAGAGTTGCTGGAGGAGAGGTGGGTCGTGGGATGGGTTAAATGGGTGATGGGCATTAAGAAGGGCACTTTTCAGGATGAGCACTAGATGTCATATGTAAGAGACGAATTGCTGGGTTCTACTCCTGAAGCCAAGACTACACTGTATGTTAACTAACGTGAATTTAAATTAAAATTTTTTTCACGACAAAATCATTCTAAATAAAAAGATAAATAACAAGCTGGAAAATATAACTGCAAGTTATATCATTAGCAAGGTGCTACATTCCTTCATATACAAAAAATTTTTACAAAATCAATTTTAAAAACACCAAAGCCCAGGGTGCCTGGGTGGCTCAGTCAATTAAGTGTCTGACTCAGTTTTGGCTCAGGTCACCATCTCCCGGTTTGTGAGTTCAAGCCCCACATCAGGCTCCGCACTGACAGTATGAAGCCTGCTCGGGATTCTCTCTCCCTCTCTCTCTGCCCTTCCCCCACTCATGTTCTCTCTCTCTCTCTAAATAAATTTTAAAAAATAATAAATACACCAAAGCCCAACAGAAATATGGGCAAAGGATATGAACAACTTATTCACAGAAAAGAAAATGGAAAACAGTCCTTCAACCTTATAGCAACAGGAGAGATACAAATTAAAACTACACCTGATAGGAGTGTTCACTCTACTAACTCTTAACTTTTCTATAGGTTGAACTAAGCTTGGAAGAAAAAATATACAGAGGAATAATTTTTTCACCTATCAAACTGGCAAAGATCAAACTGTGTGCTATCACAGTGCCGGTGAGGCCACCGCCACACACAGCTGAGGAGCATACTGGACACAGCCTCTATGGAGGTTTATCTGCAAAGAGCTATCAAAATTGCAAAAGCACATACTCATCAACCCAGCAATCCTGCCTCTGCTAAATGACCAGACAGATGCACTTGGCCATGCATCAAATGATGCCTACAGAAGTGTTTCTGCACTAGCAAAATTGACAACACCTTATATGTCCATCAACAGAGCTCTGGCTAAATAAAGGTATATCCTGACAATGGAAAATTATCCAGTTGTGAAAGACAATGAGAAAGTTCTTATGTATCGATAATGAACTATCACAAACAGAGAGAGAAAAAAGCAAGGGATATAGTGGGCTACTTTCATGTAAAAGCAAAGAGCTCTCTGTGTATCTGCCTGTATTATGCAAAGAACACCCCTGCACAGATACTGGAGAACTGGTAACACTGGCTGCCTCTAGGGAGAGGATGCGGTGGCCAGTGCAAGATGGAAGGGAAACTTCCCTGTGTATACTCTGTTGTTCCTTTTGAATTTTGTGCCATGTGAATGTATTACTGCACTGAAAAGCTAAAATTAAAAATAATGAACAATGCTTCCCTGTGGAAGCAGCAGTCTTCCCTGAATTTCTGTCACTGTGTATTTCCCCCATGCCTGTGTTCGTTCTGACTCTCTGAGCCTCCTGATTGATTATGGTCCCTTTAGGAAGAAGGTCACAGCTGAATCGCCTTTGTGTTCCCTAGAGTACCCAGCATCTCATTTGGTGCCGAGCGGAAAGTCACTGCAAGTCTGTTCACTGTGCTAAACTAGTCCACTGGTGCAAACAATTCATCCTTGGGGGAAAGAAGATTTTTCGGAAAGTTGTTTTGCAATGATAAGGACAGGAAATTCTGCTTCTGAAAGCATCAAAATTAGCCAAACAATCCAGAGAATTCTCAGCAGACCAAGTTAAAAGTAAATGAACAGAGAGAGGAGTTTCACTTCATGAATGAAAGCTGATTTCAGAGAACTTGAAGCCTGAAAATACATATATATTCAAGAGGATGATTACTGCCACATTTAGAGTAACTGTTAGGATGGCACAGCAATACCCAGATTGAAGGGAAGACCAAATTATATTAACTGGTTGTGATGGTCATCACAAGTAACCACGTACATGACGCCAACTCTCTTCACAACTGGACAACAACAAATATATTACAGATTTTCTTCCACAGTGCCAGCTACCACATTCTTATTCCCTTCTGACCTGGTCAGGAAGGACTAACAAAGGGACTGAACTGACCCCTGCTAAGAATGTAGGCAAAGAAATTTGTTTTAAACCTAGAAGCAACCCAGGAACCCAATGGGACAGCCCAGTCATTTCATAAGACTTCTGGCTGAGGGGGAGGGTGCCCTCAGTCTCAGTCCCAGCAGGTGCTGGCAGGAGCATGGTGAGGACCAGCCGCCTGCTCCCAGCTAACTGTGGGCAAGCACAGCCATATCCGCACAGGACAGAGGCCCCTTGCCTGGTTTCCTGACAGAAGTGTGGCCTGATGGAGGGCACCACGGTTCTTGATAGCTTACCCTAAAGTGAGAGTGTGAAGAGACTCTTTTTCATTACTGTCACGAAAGCTTTTAATATAAACGCTACACAGAAAATGGTTTCATTCCCAACATAAATCTGCAAAAGCACTGTGAGAGAGAGCTTGAGATGAAGTTCACCTGGAGCTCTTCTCCTTGACACAGCCATTTTCAAAAAATGGTGCTGGGAAAACTGGACAGCCACTATGCAAAATAGTTAGATGGGACCATTACATCACATATAAAAATTCAAAATTCATCAAAGACCTAAACAAAGAGCTAAAACTATAAAACTCTTAAGAGAAAGTAGAGTAAAAGCTTCAGAATACTGGATTTGACAAGAATTTCTTGAATATGACACCAAAAGCACAGGCAGAAAAAAAAAATTGGACCTCAAAAACTGAATTTTTGTTCATCAAAGGAAGCTATTGAGTGAAAAGACAACCCACAGAGTGGGAAAAAGTAATCATACCTGATAGGGACTTAATATCTAGAACACATAAAAAAAAACTTTTATAACTTGGCAACAAAAAAACAAAAAAGCCTACTCAAAAATGGGAAAAGGACTTGAATAGACATTTCTCTAGAGAAGATATACTAATGGCCAAGAGGCACATGAAAAGATGCCCAACACCACTCATCATTAGGGAATGCAAACCATAATGACATTAAAACCATAATGACAGTGGGGTGCCTGAGTGGCTCAGTCACTTAAGTGTCCGACTTCAGCTCAGGTCATGATCTCGCGGTTCGTGGGTTCAAGCCCCGCGTCGGGCTCTGTGTTGCTAGCTCGGAGCCTGGAGCCTGCTTCAGATTCTGTCTTCCTCTCTCTGCCCCTCCCCCACTCGCACTCTGTCTCTGTCTCCAAAAAATGAGAAAAAAAAATTAAAAACAAAAACCATAATGAGATATCACTTCACATCCACAAGCATAGCTATTATTAAAAAATAAAAACAGGGGCACCTGGGTGGCTCAGTCAGTTAAATGTCCGACTCCTGATCTCGGCTCAGGTCATGATCTGGTGGTTCATGGGTTCAAGTCCCATGTCAGGCTCTGTGCTGACAGTGCAGAGCTTGCTTGGGATTCTTTCTCCCCCTGTCTATCTGCCCCTGCTCTGCACGCATGCCCTCTCCCTCTGTCTCTCTCTCCCTCTCTCAAAAATAAGTCAACATTTAAACACCTTTAAAATAATAAATAAAAACAAATAAAAATGGAAAGTAACGTTGCCAAGGATGTGGAGCAACTGGGAACCCTTGTAAGTTACTGGTACAAAGTAAAATGGGGCAGCCACTGTGGAAAACAATCTAGCAGTTCCTCAAAAAGTTAAATACAGAATTACCATATGTTCCAGCAATTCCTCCCCTGGGTATATATCCAAAGAACTGAAAGTAGAGATTTGAACAGGTATCTGTACAGGCATGTTTATAGTAGCATTATTCACAATAGGCAAAGGGAGAAACAGCCCAAATGTCTGCCGACAGATAAAGAGATAAATAAAATGTGGATATACATACAAGAGAATATTTGGAAAATATTACAAAAGGAATGAAAAGAAAATGAAATTCTGACACATGATACAACATGAACAATGTTCACTATGTTAAGTGAAATAAGCCACATATAAAAGGACGAACACAGTATGATTCCACTTATACGAGGAACTTAGAATAGGCAAATTCATAGAAACAGAAAGGAGAATAGTGGTTGCCAGGGGTAGGAGGAGGGAAGAATGGGAAGTTGTTTAAGGAGTACAGAGTTTGTGTTTGGAATGATGAAAAAGTTCTGGAAATGGACAGTGGTGATGGTTGTACAATACTGTGAATATATCTGATGCCACTGAACAGTACACTTAAAAATGGTTAAAATGGTGCTTCAGCAGTAACATATGGTAATACTGGAATGACAGAGAAGATCAGCATAGCCCTTGTGCAAGGATGACACACAAATTTATGAAGCATTCCATGTATTAAAACAAACAAAAAAAATGGTTAGGGGTGCCTGGGTGGCTCAGTCTGTTAAGTGTCCAACTTTGGCTCAGGTCACGATCTCGTGGTTCACGAGTTCAAGCCCCATGTCAGGCTCTGTGCTGACAGCTCAGAGCCTGGAGCTTGCTTCGGATTCTGTCTCTCCCTCTCTGCCCCTTCCCTGTTCACAGTCTGTCTCTCTCTCTCAAAAATAAACATTAAAAAAAATTTAATGGTTAAAATGATAAATTTTACGTTATGTATATTTTATCACAATAAAAAAAACTCATCAAATAATTTAGAAAGGGGGTGCCTGGGTGGTTCAGTTGGTTAAGCATCTAACTCTTGATTTTTGACTCAGGTCATGATCTCATGGTTATGAGATCAAGCCCCATGTTGGGTTCCGTGCTGAGTGTGGAGCCTGCTTGGGATTCTCTCTCTGCTCCCTTGCTTGCATGCATGTATGCTCTCTCTCAAAGTAAAAAACAATAAACATTTTTTTAAATGTAAAAAAAATTAAAATTAAAAAGTTAAAAATAAAACAATTTAGAAAGAAAAAATGAAAATATAAAAAGAGGAAGAGTGAAAGATACAGATGAAGCAAGAGTGCCCTGAGTTAATTAGTAAATAACAGATATAACTGA